CTGTAATTGTTAGCTTGTTTAGTGTATACCCTTACTAGACTGGCTGACAGCAAGCCTGTGATGTTTACTGTAATTGTTAGCTTGTTTAGTGTATACCCTTACTAGACTGGCTGACAGCAAGCCTGTGATGTTTACTGTAATTGTTAGCTTGTTTAGTGTATACCCTTACTAGACTGGCTGACAGCAAGCCTGTGATGTTTACTGTAATTGTTAGCTTGTTTAGTGTATACCCTTACTAGACTGGCTGACAGCAAGTCTGTGATGTTTTCTGTGATTGTTATGATGTCGATGATAGCCTTTAACGTGTTTTTCATCTGAAAGTACAAAAGATCCAGCATTACTCTGACTTTGTATTGATATCAGGTCAACACTAGCTAGCGCAGAAAAAACACTGGTGGTGTGACCAGTCGAGTATCAGCATAATCTCGGTTCCATGCGCCATCTTGAAAGGAAGCCATACATTCGCATGAAAGCAAGACAACCGTTGAGCGTGCAATGATAGATACCTGTGAATAATTGTCTGTAGGTGTGAAAGAAGGTTTCTATCAGTGGTTGTGTCACCTGGATGCTAAGCCACGGCCACTTTTCAAGATGGATCATCTAGCTCACGCTTTCCAGATACTTCTACATTTTAAACGCGAGCTTTATTCGTGTTTTTTTATAATTACTGGATTATGTAACTTTTGTAGAGATTGGATATGACTTGTATGTAAAAATAGCGACATTTCAAACATGGAAAATATAGCGATAAAAAGCGTAAGAGGGTCGCATATGGAACTTATTGCCATACATCGGGTGACATTTGCTTGGATTATTGTCCAGGCTCACTCATGCATGCATCCATGCATGCATGTATATATGCATGTAATTTATTTATTTACTTCATGAAATATAACACAATGGAGTTAATTAATATTTTGTCGTCGATCGACCTCATTAACATCATCATCTGACCATTAAATACTATTAATAGCAAAGTCACCTCTAGAAAGGAAAGTACATGTACATATAATATCAMAGTTACGTTCACTGACTGATATAAATTTTTCAAATATTGAATTAACACAAAACTGCATAGTTTTGAGTACATTTTAAACATATAATAAGAAAGCAATAATTTGAAAAATTTAAGTTTGATTTTTGTTGCTTGTGCCTACAGAAGTAGTCTCCTTTGCATCCGTTCATCGTCGGGACAGGAATCCCGAAACGCAAACGGATGCGAAGCAACGCCAACTCTTCAAAGGCGAAAATACGTGATTTGATTTTTAAATTTTCTCACGAAAAATACACAGCAATGTCACACATACATTTTATTTCTTAAATCCGGTGCTAGGTTTTTTATTAACAAAATAAGTTATACGCGAGGCCCAGTTTTTTGGAGCGAACTGTGGTGAAAACATGGATCGCCATACTATTTTAATGCTCAACTTCAACTCTTCAAGGGCAAAAATACGTGATTGGATTTTCGAATTTTCTCATGAAAAATACCCAGAAAGGTCGCATATAGATTTTATTTCTTAAATCCGGTGCTAGGTTTTTACGATTGTTTTTAATGTCGCCGCATTTCTTCAAAAAGCCTTGAAATCTGGCCTTTTTTCGTCAAATTTGGCACTTCATACGGACTGTCAGGTCAAGCTTGAGTGATCACGGACTATTTGTCCCCCATAAGTTCCATATGGCCACCTTAAAGGGCAACTGACGTGTGAAAATGAACCATTTTGGAAAAAAAATCTCCATTAATTGGAGAACTCAAAAATATAGTTTTTAGGTCTTTGAAACAAATCCTGAATTTTTTATAGATTTTTAAAACATATTTCGTGACCGCTTTGACCGTGGGCTCATAAAAAGGCCGTGTGACGTCACAACGTCAAAAAAACCGATATGAACACTTTTTGTAATCATTATGTTATCGAGTTGTTAGTAAGTCAGTAACACAACCACGCGATTCGAGCAACCTCCCCCCCCCCTCCTTTACCCCCTGTACGAAGTTCTAATTGCTAGGTCAAATTTATTTAAATCTTACGGAATTTTGCATATTTTGAACTAGACGCTCTTAGAGCGTGAAGTCGGGCTATTTTTGAAAATTGACAGGATATATATTTTTTTCTAGCGTTTTGAAGTCGTTGAAGCAAGCCGTCAAAAAAGATATCGTAGCGTGTGAATAAACAAGATTAATTAATAAACTAGTGAAAGTAACGCATTCTTGCTGTCACTATATAAGTATTAGATCGATATTCCTATTTGTCTTTCATACCAGTCGCTTTTTTGGAGTAAACACATGCACTCTAACAGCGACTTTAATTAAGAATAGTCTCACAAGAATTTAGAAAGGATCGCGACGGATTTCTGTACAACTTGAACAATTGAACAATTTGAAGGACGTTTTTCAGATGAATTACGCCAGTAAAACTGAGCTTCCTAAGTTTTATTCCGCCATTCAAAATGAAGCAGATTAAAACCACAATCACCACCACTGAAAAGAAGAGTCATTTAGATCGTCCACTTTAGATGTTGCTTTACAAACAGGAATATTTTACCTTCATAAAGATGAACGAATGGTTTGTCTAGAAGTAAAGAAAGGTTTGGATGAGAGCAGATACCAACCGAATCACGATATAATAAACTGAACACCAGCGGCATGGCACTACGCAACGGATGTTGTTAATCCATTAAAAAAAAAACCTCCGATGGTTTCAATGGTTTCAATCCAATGGTTTCAACAGATGTTGTTAATCCATTTGAAAAAAAAAACTCCGAATTTAGGAAGATGTAATTGACTGCACGCAATGGTTTCAATCGCTTGCACTATTTTCACAAGAACACTCTACGCAAAATAATGCAATATCTCGTACTTCAAATCACAGCAGAATATTTTGCAAAACAAATTAGTATAACTTTTAGCTTTCTAAAGCATGTCAGATGGTTATAATTCAAAGCTTCTTTAACACTACAGCGTTACCTTTGCAATCTACAAAACAATTCCGAGTTCTGATTGGACTTCCCAGTCTTGAGCAGTCTTTCCCACCAAACTGTGGTGGTGGCAAGGTACAAGTCCGTTGCTGGTATTGCAACCCATTTCCACATGTCGCACTGCACGCGGTGAAATTGGAATATGGAGTATAACCACCATCAACTGAAAAACATTCTTACCTTGAAAATTACGGAAAACTTGGAGGTGAAAATAGGTCACTTACTCACTCACACTCGCGTTTCTGTAAACTTTTTTAACAGAAAATACAAGTTCGCATTTCTGAACCAAAGTTTATTCAGAAAAAATTAATTTGAGCCAACATTTTACTGTGTGAGGATCTTTACCTGGACATTTAAACGTGTTGCAAGCTCTTTGTTGCAAAATTTGTTTGTTATGTACTTTGATCATGCGCAGACGAACGCCACCACCACATGTTTTATCGCATTCAGTAAAGCCTGTTGTAGCCACGTGATCTAGAATCAAATAAACGTGCATCATTTTAAAGACTGGACTACGATATATATTGTATACAGGTACCGTCGATTTTCCTCACTTTAATCACCTCGAAAACACAAATTTATGTGCCATATCGCCGTCCATTGATCTTTTATTTGTAAGCATAATTATCAATATGTCTGCATCGTACAGACACTAGAGAACCTAAGCAGCGGACGTTTTCCAGACGGCAATGGAAACCGGAAGTTAAACATACTTCCGGACTGCGTTTCCCGCCAAGGAATGTGTCCGTCGTGACTCGGCGACTCGCCTCATAGAATGACAGGTTTTCGCAGATATTCTAGAGGCTTGTTTCAAATAGAACCTCTCCCATTGGTTATATCAAAATCAACTCACCGCATAAATTACACGTCTTTTTGCAATATCTTTTCATGAGCTCACCAAACGTCAAACACAATTTTTTTGTGTTCCATTCTGCGCATGCTTTTGGAAATGCATCATCACATTGTTCTGAAAAAACTGAAGCAGTTGCCATAGTAACATCACTCATTAGGACTCCTAAGAGTACCATACACCATGTACAATTTAGTAAATGGCAGCGAGGAGATACGAATTTTATCTTCAAGTTTTGAAAAAATCTCTCATGACTTAGCGTTGCGATTTTCAACACGAGAAGATAAAATTCGTATCTCCTAGCGACCATGTAATATTCTGTTTATCATAATATAATACATATGAAAGCAAATTATGGCGTAAAATATATATATATTTTTTTTACTTCCAATATTTAGAGAAAGCTCGAATGTGTCATTTTCTCATTTGTCATGTGTCATAATTCTGCAGTCCAAAGGATTACCACCCTATCGTGGTGGGGCGGTTTGTGTGTTTCAATGACCCGTAGAGCTATGTCGGCCGGAGTAATATACTCCTGGTAGGGCCACCCATGCCGAACAGGTCGAAGGGTAGAAGCCAGACTAAGTGTAATCCCTGGTCCTCCAGGTTGGGGGGTTGGGTAGAGAGCTGATAACCCGCTCCCGTAAAAAAAGCAACTTATTACAGAAACCAGAAAATCATAGATAATTATATGATAATTAGTGTTTCACGGCTGTAAATAATTACATTACTCACATATCGTAGGTTGAAACAGCGAGCCATTCTCATTTTGTAGGATGCTAGCCAATAGAGACGAGGACGAGTAGTTTTTCTGGATATCGCTTTTTAGTGGGATGAAAGAATGTGACGTACTTGGAAGATCGCTTGAATTGGCCAATTTTAATCGTTTATTGTTGAGTCGATCTCTTATTTTCTTCTTCAAAATGTTTACCAGTCTAGTCATCTGACCTTTACCGATAGTATCGTTGATGCTTTTTGGAAAGCGAGCTATGATCCCTCGAGCTATTGCTTCATATTTATCGTTGACTAGTTTTGGTTCGCCGTTCACAATGTCTCCATTATCTTTCTCTGTTTTATCAGATTGTGTTGTGTCATTTTTTGCTGACTCTTCCTGGTTGTGTTCGGGTTTCTGTTTCTTTTCCTCGGATAATTTTCCGATTTCTTTTTCTTGGTCTTTCGTCTTTGCCTGTGCTTTTTCATTTGATGTTTTCTCTGGATATTTTGTAGCGGAATCTTTTGTAGTATTTTGTCCAGTGGAATTATTTCCCTGCGACGGGACGTTATGTCCATCAACAGGCTTGTCAAAATGTGAAGACACTTTAATGGTTTCTTTCTGAAGGTTTCCTTTAATGACATTGGTTTTCAGTTCGTTTGCACCTATATTTGGTAGCACTTGTGCCTTAACATGCGAACTGTTTGAGTTTGAAGTTGAACTGTCTTCTTTCGTTTCTTTTGGATGAGCAGGATAAAGATTTGTTTTTTCTTCTGAATTTGTTTGTGGAGTCCCGCTAACTTTATCATTGCTAACTTCGTCTGGAGTAAAGGACTCAGGCTTCCCAGTGATAATCGGCCGGGAAATTGCTTGTTCATCTTGATGTGCACTTATAGTGTGCTGGTCATATAACTCAGGCTTACCAGAAATAATGACTTTCGAGGGATATGACTCGGTTGTTTTAGCATCTTTTTCTATCATCGTTTGATTGTGTTTTGGATCAGCGTGACCTTCGTCTTGGTTCAGCTTTGTAACGAGGCCATGGAAGCTCTCTTTCTGGTTTGATTCTTTTAAGTTAGCATCATTTTGCAGTTCTTTTGCATTATCTTTTTTCAGACTCGAGCTCTTCAATTGTTCTTTCTGTTTTTGTAGATCCTGTGCTAGCTTGCTTACTTTACCGTCGATAACGTTTTGCAGGATTTGCAAGCTACTTTGGTTTTTATTGGATCGTTGAAGTTTAAAGGCTGTAGGAATGAGAATCATTGGTGTTTGTACCAATTAAACCAGACACTCAGTAAGGCTGTAGCCACAGCTACTCTGTTTACACTTGCGATTTTTGAAGCGCGATTGTCTATCGCCAAAAATCGTACGTGTAAACAGCCCTGCGATTGTTGCGGCGATCGAAAATCACCGCGAGTTGCAGCTAAATTTCAATCATGTTCGAAGCTCAGGCGATGGTCGCGCAACAATCGCCGCGACAATCGCGCTTTAAAAATCGCAAGTGTAAATGGGACTTGATGGAAATGGGAAAATTAAGATATTAGACATGAGCCAGTGATAAAATGACCTCACCGTTCTTAATCTCTTTTATTATATCTTTCTCTTTTTCTGTTGGACTCGTCTTTACATCTGGGTCTGTATGGAAAAAAATATGCTTTTAAACTCTTTCTCTCTCAGTGACGCTTGATGTGTGTTGTCATGGATACTAATGATGGTCCACGTGGTTCATGGTATTGGATGGCATCAATGGCAACACAGAAACCTCACCTTGTATTACTTCAATAATAGTGTTACCATTGTCCTCCTCAGCCACTTAGAAACAAACAAAATATAGTGAGTCCAATGCATCTTGGTTTTGACACAGGCCAACCATAATAAAAGTCTTTCACAAATAGCTTTCGCCGAGACTTCAAAAAAATCTTGTAACTGTTGTAAAACATAAAGTGAACTGAAGAGGTTTTAATAAACGAAACTAGTTTTCACTATTCTTGGTAGYCSMTGGCCTGTACGTACGAAAATCATTATGTTGGAGTGATTTACATTTGTAAAGTTTATGGATAATAAAAGTCAGGGTGGAGTAAATGACGTCATTATTGCCAAAATACTGTTGAATCTATATTTTTGATAATAAATGTTTTGCTCAACCCCATATCGCCCTTTGAAAACACTGGCATAGCTTGGCCCAGGTTTTTGAGCTGACATCATGTTATCTAAGTTTTTTTCATTCTTATTTGATAACAATAGTTACCGTTCTTTGTGGGTTTACCAACTTTTTCCAGTTTGTTTTCAGCCTTTAAAGAAGAATTATTATTCGGTGAAGCAGGCAACGTTACCGTCCTGTCTTTATGAATTGTGGAAAGCGTGTCAATAGACAAACCATCGGGCTTTGCGGGCTTTTCTGCCTCGTGATTGGTCGATGAGGCATCTGATGAGTGATCTGAAAATATCGAAAAAAATGACAAAAAACCGCGTTGAAAGTGACAATGGGTTTGAGAAGCAGCTCATTATAATGGCAAAATCGATTTATTTAATGATATTCCTTTCCGCGGCAATAAAAACAAACAAACAATTGAATTAGACAGGCTTACTAACTCTGAATTAGATGCCATTATTTTAGGATATATTATCAATCAGTTATTCACCAAGCAATGCCCAAATAAAGCATTAAAGCTAAATCCTACACTGGTGAGATTTTTTTTAAGTTAAAGATCTTCAAAACACGGAATTTACATAGCAGCAAATTACATAGCAAGCATGTTAGTCATACCATCGAACATGTCATCAGTCACATCATCTGATTCGTCATCTGTGTTTAACGAGACAATATAATGGTCAGTATTGTTAATGCTTATTGATGAGTTACGATGAATTAATTTACTGTCAAAAGATGTCAAGGATGTCCATAATTACTCTTGGTTTAGTTGCGTCATAGCGCCCATATTGGCGTACACCAAAAGATTTATCATATTAGCTAAAACCTCTTCCCTATGGCTATCTAGCTCAGCCGACTCTTTTTGAAGATGGCGGTCACCGTGACCCTGGTGTTTGCTAGAGGTCACGTGATCAAAAACCCAATAATATCCTCTTGCCGACGACCGCCATCTTGAAAGTAGCCGGCCATGTAATAGCTTCAACGGACTGCGACATTCTACTAGGCTAACAGACTGGAATTCGTCGTTTGCAATATACGTCAAAGTAGCCATCTTGGATGAACTTCAGCAAAGGATTTCTCATATCTATTATTTATTCAACCAACATGGCTGCCGGTCTTTGTCTTGTGAATCTCATGGGAATGATTGAAATCGAGCAATATGACTATCAGAAACTATTAGTTTCACAGTTTCGTTTTTTTTTTCTTTATATTTCATAGGGAATAGACAATATAGGTTACCTACCAATTACAACAGTTTTTTTTTGAACGTTTGAAAGACCTGAAATTCAAACGGTATATTTTTTTTATAAAATATTATTTTAGAGTCAACAACAATCAACGCAAATCAATCATAGACCACGTGGAGGATGGAACAAGACTCCTACCTTTGTGTTTACATGCGATCCTTTTGATAATAAAGGCAGTGTCTCTATTGTGATTGGTAGATTTTCTAACGTGACCTAGTGTTAATTGGAGCCTTTTGTTATGTTGCATGAACCAAGATGGTCGTTGATATAATTCAAGTCCGTAAAGGACCGGCTTTTCTTGTAGCTTTACAACGTGAAAGGTGGCATCTTTTGCTGTTCAAATAATCGAAATTATAAAATGTAAATTTGCTGATCATGATATGATGATGAAATGTTTTTTAACTCCTTATATATTAAATAATCTTTATTTAAGCGTGGATTTCACTAGCGCATAAGCATAGCATAAGCACAAGCATGAGAATCATATGCGCCAGGGAGAACGGGCTCGACATAAGGATAAGGCATTGAGCATGCGCACGAACGTAATATTTCGGTACCAGGCTATGCTTATGCCTATGCAATCCCGTTCTCACTGTTCATAAGCATGAGATAAGCACAAGAAGATCAAGCCTTGCTCGTTTTTCTTGTGCTCATGCTTATGCTTATTTTGAGCCCGTTCTCACTGGCGCATATGACTCTCGAGCTTCGTTCTTATGCCTATGCTTATGCGCTAGTGAAATCCACGTTTTAGAAATCATATTTAAATTGAGAGCTCGGTGCCACAGACGAGTTTTCTAAATAGATCTATTTTGCTATATACTAGCCAAACCGAAAATGGCGCACCTTGCATAGCATGGAGAATGGRTTCAAAAGATGCTCTTCCAGAATTTCACTATATTTTCTTCGACTTCAATTTGATGATATCTTATTATTATCGTTTATTCCTTACAAACTATTGAACTGAGAACATACCGAATGATGTCTTTTTTGATGGTTTTTCAAGGAAGAACTTGTAATTCCTCTGTCGAAGATAGAATCCACCAAGCCTGACTGACTCAATGCCGAAGGTTCTATTTTTCCCCAGAAATCCCCCGAGTTTGAGCCGGAAGTTCTCGGGTAATCTGCCAATGAACGCTTGTTTTCCATTGGTTTGAATGCCGTAGTCATGAGCACCAGAAGACAGGATACGTACACAACCGCGGTTTGTCTTCAAGCCTGATTATCAAAATATTAAAATGTAGTCCCTTCAACACATGAACAAATAGCAATCGTACTGACTCTGGTCAGACTTGATAGAGAGAAAATACCAAAAAATTATAGTCCTGTTAGCTGTTTACCTCAGTAACTTGCAATATTCTTTGGCTGAGATAGCCAGAATTAGTATCGCACATTCGAGATTAGCAAGTGCGCATGCTCTAACAGCGTAAAATTGCACAGTGTATCGCCCCTCCATAGGCTGCCCAACTATTGTTTGAGAGAAAAAAAGAACGAGCTGTGCATAATTTATTGTCGAGACGCTCTCTTAGTAAAATGAGGATTATACCTGTGGTATAACTTCACGATCCCGTACCTCGACCTTGGAACGTGGTTGGATACAAACAAGTCTGAGACAGCAAGTCACAGCTAGTGAGCAGCTCGTTCTTTTATTCTTTCAAGCGATGGTAGGGCAGCCTATGGAGGGGCGATACACTGTGCGATGGTTTGCAAATTGCTGCGTAACGAAATGTAGACTTGAGTTTTGCTCCATGAGAAGCCACGCGCAACAATTAAAGCTGCAATACGACCCATGTTACACTGTGCAATTCTTCATCGACTTGTGCGGTAACGACGTTCAGAGACAAGTTGCTGAGTAAACTTCACATTATAACAGTGCATTAGAACGGGAATGCTAGGATTATTACACGGAATTAATAAAATTAATAACATCCACCAAACCTTAACTTTTCTAGAGTTTGGTATTGAATTAGTTTTTCTATGTGTTAGGCTATGAATTCTACAAAAAATGTTCTTAAACTTAGCCTTGCAGCTCGCAGTTTATATGTCCATAAAGGTCCTCTCCCGAGTCGTAACTCGCTTTTTTTACTACGCTTGAAGGGTTTGATGGGAAGAAAGTGGAAGAATGTGGTCAGGGACCGCCGAGCAGGGGGGGGCTGGGGGGCTATAGCCCCCCCAATAATATTTCCGACATTTTGAATTTTCTTAAATAAAGAAGCGAAAAGCCTCCTGCCTTATGAAGTCTTTGGGATTTTATTGATAATATTGCTGACCGTGTCTGTGGAAAATATGTCTTGGATAGCGCCTCAAAACGCTGGAAATGGCATTTCCGAGAGTTAAGTTTTCAGAAATTTCCGACCCCCCTAGTACCTCCTTGCCGCTAGCCCCCCCAAACAAGATCCCGCTCCGCGGTCCCTGGTGGTAGCCTTAACTTGCTCAAATCTCATCATCTGAGGGGCGTGGAGAAGGCTTTAAAGCCGAATATAAAGAGGTTTAATCCGGGCAATAGTTTCCTTCACGATCCTCTGCGCCATCTTTAAAGGTAGTCTTTGCATCGAAGCGAGACAACCGTTGAGCGTGCAATGATTGAATCCTTTTTTCGCGCCTACAGACAATTATTCACAGGTATCTATTATTGCAAAGTCACCCGTTGTCTCGTTCTGATGCAAAGGCATGGTTACCTTTCAAGATGGCGCTTGGAACTGTGAAGGAGTTCGGATATGTAAAATTCTCATTTCAGACATGGAGAACATGATTATGGCATCCCCCTTAAAGCCTTGTTGCTTTATGTCAAAGTGTTAAACTATGTACATATCAGAGAATTAGTTATGACAAGGCATATTTTACTAATGAACATAAATGGACCACTATACTGATGAAAGTAAAGCTTTGTTGTATTTACAAATCAACGTTACGTCACAAGGAGGCGGTTCAACAGAATATTCAGACAGATTGCCTGGTATCTTGTATAGTAATTGAGTAATAACGAACTAACGAAGTCGTCATGATAATATTGGTTTATCATTTCTGAGCCAAACTTTCCTGTCACATAGTACTGTCACGCATTGTAGTTTAAAAGAAGTCGTAGGAACAATTTAGACACAACAAATGGTAACCATAAAAGTACCAATAATTCGAATCGAACTACTTTTAAAATAACCTGGTAAATATAGTAAGCTGCCAGTATTACGACAAATTATGTGATAAGACTTGAGAGATGACACTATACCTTTAAAGTGTGTGCACCATGTCAAGGAGAAGACAATATTGACAATTATACACTTCCAAATAAACTTGAAATCCATTGTTTATCCTTGTTGAATGTTTTAGCCGTAATCATTTATCAAAACTATCGCCCATTGTTAGAGAGCCAAACAATCAATTACGTCATACAAAGGACAAAGTCGCAAATATGACAATACAAGTACCCGCCACAGAGATTTGTCCCCTGCTAACAGACTTCGCTTGCTTGGTTGTCTGTATTTAGTTATAGATATGTTGATATTTTGACTAGAATTAATGTGTTTGGTAAACTAGAACGCGTTGTTGGTCAATTCAGTGTATTTAGAGAATTTGTGACGTCATAATATGGCGGCCATAAAACTAACCACGGGTCAATTGGTAACGGTTTCTTGGCGAAGTGCAAAACCAGCGCGCACATCCCCTCTTTTCGTTTTGTGAGCGAAAAATAGCTAGTAGCTAAATAGGGATCTGACTCGAAAGATGTACTAAATGTACATGCAATATCTTATGTCAAGATGATCAACAACAATGCTGATTCACTAAAAAAAACCTTTAAATCTATACGTTTTTTTTTTCCACAATAGTAACTAGCAAAGAAAAGTTAACTACATGGATCATTAAGTAAGTACTGAGTGCACAAAATATAACCAAACGCTGACTGGAATCTTGAATTCAATTGACTGAAAAGGTTCTCCTGTTACGTTAAGGTTATCCAGTTACGATGAAAATGTATGTTAATCGATGGAATAGTTGTGTTGTTGATGGTAGTAAACCAAAATTACACAGAATACTTATAGTATTATGGTAATCGTCTTTTTAACAAGCCAATTTACACGGAATTATGTGCTACATAAACAAATAACATTCAGTAACACTGATTTTATCGACTCTGACTAAATGAACATTTTATACGGTTTAATATTAGTGATTTATTCAGTAATGTATTTTCCTTTTTCTTGTTCCATATTCCTGAAGAAAGTTTATTCGTTTTTCAAATTTGTATTTTCTAATAATTTTTTTTCCATTGTATTCACGTTCAGTCAAACTACCTGCTAACACACTCTACAAACACAAGAATACCCCTGACAAAACCAGTCAACAATGAATCGTTTTGTTGCTGTACAAACATCACTATTATTTTCTACATTTTATTTTGTATAAGAAAACAAAATCAAGGGAAGGTAATGAAAAGATGAAAAGGAGATTCAGTATCAGGTAATTAAATAGGGACAAGGGTAATATATAAAAACTGATAAAACGATCCTCGCTCTAATGACAAGTTTCTTGATCAATTTGTTTTCTCTAGATTATTCTAAATATCATGACATTTCTGTAGACCAATCTTTGATTTGCAACGGAAAGGCTTTGGATACAGTTTTCTAATCCCATAGAGAAGTCATCGAGCACAACTTGAATTGTTATTTCGTAAACGTTTTAGTTTGCTGGTGTCTTTGTTTTTAGAATAAAGCAATACACACACAAGACGATAAATCCAAGAAATCACCTTATTTTAAGATAATAATTTTAAGTAATAATTTAATAAAATAGAGCAATAAATTAACCCAGCGTGATTTGTTACTATTCTTGTATGTTGACATGATTTTTGGTCTCACTTCTTTTGACAGGCAATCAAGTACCAGCTCGTAGATTGACTTACGTTGATATATCAATATCTAGCTGTACAAAATGTATGTTTGTTTATATTTCTTGTTACATATGATATGTTTAGGTAAGTGGAAAATATACTGGACGATATAGTACCGTTCACGGTTCCGCCATCTTGAAAGTTAGCCGTGTCCTTGCAACAAAGCGAGACGACTTACGAACTTACAGAAAGCGAATACCATGCAAGCTTTCTTTTACACCTATAGACAATTGTAATCTCGGTTACTTCAGGTAATTTCGCTACGATGCAAAAAACTTGAACGGCTACCTTATAAGATGGAAAATGTTTAAAAAAGAATGTTTGATTTTTTGGAGGAATTTTCTGCTACAGAAGAAAAGACGACAAAAAAGCCAACTCGGAAAAAAACTCAGTAATAATTTATGATAATGTTATGTCCTCTGATATAAAAAAGTAACATAACCATTACTATAAACTAAAAAAATCACAAATTTTCATTCTTGATCAGTCAGCCTTTGGACCAGCTTAGAGGCTAGCACAGACAGCCAGGATGGAAATCTCAAAAATGTCAAAAGTAGAATCTTGTATCAGCTACAAGAACAGATGAACAAGATCTCTTTTCCTGATCCTGACGACACAGAGGGTTATGTTCGTAGTAAGATTCAGCAGTATTACTACCTGAGGTCGGGCAAAAGAAAACTCCAATGGATGTTTAAACCTTACAAAGGAACCACGCCTCACATCAGGGAGATCTTTCTTGGTCGGTGCTGGGATTATGTCCAGAATAAGCACTCGTTCTTATTCAACTCGAAAAACATCGACTGTGTGGTGTTATGGAACTCTTTTGTCAAGGCTTTTGCAAATAAAAACCCCTGCGGGCTAAGAAAGAGAGACTATGCCGAGTTTTTTAGCATGATCTACGAAAAGCCGTTATATGATAAGGTAGGATAGTTATACCTCCCATCATTGTTGTACAAAGGTAATTTAATTATCCACTGAACATGACTTAAGTCAAAAGTGATTTTACATTTTCGTGTATCTTTATTAACTTCTCAATGTCCACCTAAGGTTTTGCTGTGGTCAGGTACAAGAGAATGGGCCCACACGTACGCTCGCCTTTTTGACAAATACGTCACATTAGAAGATACATTTGCAGGGTAAGCATTGCGCATGCTTGAAATAAAAAACTGCTGAGAATAGATGATACTTTGTGTATATTCCAACGCAAATCTCAATCCCAGGTCGAATTGAGACATGCTTTGGTTTTTGTTGTTTATTTAGATTCTTGTTGAATGGTCTTACATGGTGTGGAAGCAAAAACTGGCCAGGCATCAATTTCAATACGTGTCCTTATGAATGTTCAAAACAGAAAGCATTCTGGGGTCTTGCTGCAGACAAGGTTAGGAAACAATTTAAGATCGAGATGAGATTGGGTTGCCTGTGGTGACTAGAACCATATATGCTCAAACGTTTCTTTCGGAAAGGTCCGACCACACGTATTAACACCGGATTCAGATACAAAATGTAAGCATCCGGATTTTTTGATACGTGTGAACGTAAAGTGCATCGGCAAAGAAACCGAGGTCTTTATCAAACATCAATTAACCCAGTATTTATAATGCAATATCAATTCTGTACACAGCTAGCGATGCGAGCTCGAGGCATAGTTCATGTCATGCTGAATGGTACAAGACAGCATCTTGTCGACAGACAGATATTTCCTGCATTCATGGATGATAGGTATGATGACCGAGAAAACTTCTTCATGGTTTCACTGGCTTTCTCCACTTTCACTGAAATGTACTGTCGTTATGTTCATTTGTCATTCCAGTTACCTGGCTGAAGACCAAGTTCCAAAGCTACCAGTTGGCAAGATCACTGAAGTTAAACTTCTTGTTGGTCACACCTTGCATCACACAAAACTGTAAGTACACTATGTTTGTTACTGTCACCTGTCACGCAATATATTTTTTCATAAAAATGTAAGTACAATGTCTGTTACAATCAACTGTAACGCAATACTAATCTAAAAGTTGTGCTGTTCAACTTCAGTGAAAAATGCAACAGTTTGTCAATAAAAGAGCTTCAGGGAAGACTTGTGCACCGCGGGCTCAAGACATCGTGTTACGACGACCCTAAGTATGTAAAAAATGTAGTATTATGATAAAAAATATTACTGGATTGATAAAAGATTATTTGCATCGTGTAAAAAGTCGAAGAGATAAGTAGAACTTTAGGGGACTGATTATTGTAAAATGTGACACACTTTGGCTGGCTGGATGACAGTTTACGTCACGGCAACCATTATGCATGGTGGTATTTGCACTATAAAAGATTTGTATTTGCCGGATATTAGGCCTGGGAGTAAAGGCCTGAGGGTAAAGGCCTGGGGCTAAAGGCCTGACTCCAACTAACAAATGACTCACTGAGTAATTTTTCTTTCAGTGTACTACGTCACTTACTGTGTTTGAATCAACCAAACGACTCACTTTGCTTGTTCAGAACAATGGCAGAAAATGGAGACTGATTGAATCACGAGATATCATGCGCACAAATACCTCGCTCTGATGTATGAATCAATACCAACTTGTGCGGACGGAAGACTGGTACGATGGACGGTCGATTAAAGTGGATTACAATCATTTCCAGGAAAGTCAATCAAGCAAAAACATACCCCTGCAGTCGCACAAGTTGATGGTATGACAATCTAGTACTCTCCACGAAATGATTGCAAATCACACAAAAAATAAAGACATTTTTACTCGTGCCTAAATATCTGGACAATTCTTCACTTTAAACAAAATCAATGATAGAATGGCTGCGTCAAATCACTTGGCTTTCTTTCCTCACCTTGTGATTCTAGTCCAGCTAAGAATGTCTTAGTACATAGAATCATACTAAATATATCCAAATAAAATGAAAACTAACATTAAATAAGTAAACTTACGGGCAAAGATTTGGATTATGAACGAATATACGAGAAGTATTTTGATCATATTTACTCTTTAGATATTTCGGTTACTAGCAGTAGCCATCATCAGTATACGTAAACATTAAACACGTCATCTACCATGACAATAAATATTAATTGTGAAATAGGATAAATTTTAAAATAAACGGAATTTACATTATTTCTGTGTCAGCTTATTACAGACTAAAACTGACCAAAACTCTATTCTGACTAAAAATATCAAAAAAGAATACCCTTCTCTAAGCCGAAATCCAAATCCTATAGGGGCACATTCCCGTATACTAAATATAGTCCCATCCCGCCCAACTTTTACTGATCTGCCTAACAAAATGCTGCAGCCCAATCCGTTTATTGCCATGGTGACCTCTAGTGGATCTATTTTTACCACTTTTAATAGTCTAAAAATATCATCGACCAACAGCCAAATCGACATGACCGCTGCAATATCGTATGATGCGGTATTTTGGTCTTACTATTAGTGAGGTATTGCAGTACCTCCCTTACGATCCCCTCTGAAGTCGGCAAGGTAATAGAGGAATAAAATACGAGAAAGCCTAGGAGAAATATGAACTCTACCATGAACCGAAATCACTATTACTATACTAATTAAGACAAACATATATTTTATTCATACAATAAATGAGATATGAAATATGTCTGTCGAGGTACAGACGTATTGGCTCCTAATGGCCTTGGCCATCCATCATTTTCACGGCCATCGTAAAATAACCACTGGCCTTTGTACCGGAAAATACAGACGTAATGTTGTTCTTCTTTGCTAATGAGAGTAATGGATCTTAAAGTGTACCTGAAACAAATTACAAACAATTACAAACTTCAAAATGTTTGCTTTATGGTTTCTCGTTTCATTGTCGTATTTTTTCAACATGCATGAAATTACAGTTTTGTCAAATTCATAATCACACGTCTTTGGTGTTTACTTACGTTCTTCCTAAAATCTCTAGATGCGGAGGTACTTTGTTCATGGTCAGTATCTCATCCATTTCAGCCATAAGCTCTGTATCCACTGGTATGAGGACTGGATGTGACGAGCCTCCGTCAAAGGTTCGCTGGTGCAATTGTCTCTGCCCGCTACAGTACTGAGCGCCAATGTCTCTGCA